AGAATAAGGTAGATTAATGCGTTTATATTAAAAGATATCCAAGATACATCATCAGAAAAACAAAAAGGCAAGTTGCAAACCAGTATTTAGAGTGAGATTTTATTTCATAAAATTTTTAAAATATAATTTTATATATAATCCCTGGAATCATGCCCTGAGCTGAAATCAAGAATTGGAAGCTCAACCAACTGAGCCACTCAGGCACCCCAGTCACCCCCAAGTGTTAATTTTATAATAGAAAATACAGGTTTCAAATTTTGTTGTAAAGATGGAAACAAATATGTCTCAGTGTTAAATGTTTTTTTTTCCCTAAATGATGCAGTTATGGGAAGTTTTATTTTCATTTCCCAAATTGTTTATAAGTATGCATTATATTTATAACAAGGGAGAAAGTGTTATTTGGAAAATATTAACAGTGTTTCTCTTTGAATGTCTGGATATAGGGATTTTTTTCCCCTCCTCAGTGTATAATTCAAAGTTACTATAACAAGTTTATTGCCTACTGCAAAATGGATGGAGTGAACTTTCATTCCTTTGTTCTGCCCCGCATTCCTTCCTTGCACAAATTGCCCCTTCACACTCTAAGCTTAAATTGCCTTTCAACATTTCTGATGTGGCTGCTATTTGGAGGATGTTCAATATTCCAAGCATAGGTTTTACTAGTCAAGAAGTGACAGTAATGATGGGGCACCTGGGGGGCTCAGTCGGCTAAGTGCCCAACTCTCGGCTTTCGGCTCAAATCATGATATCACGGTTTGTGAGTTTGAGCCCCAAGAGCCTGCTGGGGATTTTCTCTCTCTTTTCCTCTCTCTGCCCCTCCCCTACTGGCTCCTGCTTCCTCCCTCTCTCTCTGTGTCTCTCTCTCTCAAAATAAATAAACCTTTTTAAAAAAAGTGATAGTAACAAGAGCATTCACTGGGGAAAACTGGACAAGACTCTCACCTGTCCCTTTGGGGCTCCTCAAATCACAAAACAAATTGTTCCCAAGAAAAGGTGATTTTCCTCTCAGAGGTCATTTGGCAATGGCTGGAGGCCTATTTGGTTGTCATGATTAGGGGGTGGGAAGGCAGGGTTGCTACTGGCGTCTAGTGGAGAGGGGATCCATCCAGGGATACTGCTACACATTTTATAATGCACAGAACAACCCACAACAAAGAATTATCTAAAGTGTCAGTAGCACAGAGGTTGAGCAATCTAGCACTAAACAGGTAGAGGGTAGGAGGTAGTGGTTAGGGGCAAATCTATTAATCACCTCTGACCTTCAGAAGGAAATAGGATTGCTGCTTCACAGTAGATTCTGGGAGAAGTCCAGCTGGAACACTGATCCCCGGGGGTCCTTTGTTGCATACTGTGTGCAGTGATCAAAATTATCAGCAGTCTATTGCAATCCTTTACAAGTTGGACCACTAAGGATTTAAGGATTTAAACCCCACAGAAAGCAAGATGGAGGTTGCCCCATTAAGCAAAAAAAACTTCAGCCAGTCAGTGTTAGCCAAAGACAGGCAAATTGTGGAATATGTGATAGGGGAGGATAATGGAAGTTATAGGTTCAAGACCAGCTATAGAAACAAGAACGTAGGTTCTACCTCCATTTCCTTGCTGCTGTATCTTATATAAAATTTGTTTCTTTCCTTTTCTTTGCCCATGCTGTTGTATCAACATATAGTGTAATAACAATTGTTACATTCATTGTTTGTATGGTGATGGTATTGACCATAAACCAGGGTAGAAATGAACTAAGAGGATCTTGAATTCAGGGAGCAGTGGCCCAAAATATCACTTGGAATATTTTTTTCTTCCAATTCCATCAAGTGGCACAAAGATTAAATTCAAAATAAGAATTTCCTGAAAAACAGAACCTCTCTGAATGCCTAAGAATAGAAATCACAAACTTTGGATAGCACAGAAGACCCCCAAAAATGTATCTGCATGTAGATAACTAATGGACATGGAGAATTAAGAATCTCACTGATGGGTATCATAGAAAAAAAATTTTTTTTATTTGAGAGAGAGAGGGGGAGAGAGAGAGAGAGAGAGAGAGAGAGAGAGAATCCCAAGCAGGCTCCATGCTCAGCACAGAGTCCCAGCACAGAGCTCAATCCCACAACCTTGGGATCATGACCTGGGCTGAGATCATGACATGAGCCAAAATCAAGAGTTGGACACTTAACTGACTGAGCCACCCAGGCGCCTCCCCAAAATTTTTTTTAATGTTAAGGTAACCAAAATGGATGAAGGGGAGTGGGTGATACAGACTTCCACTTATGGAATGAGTAAGTCATGGGACTAAATGGCACAGCATAAGGAATATAGTCTGATATCATAATAGCCTTATATGGTAACAGATGGTAGCTACCCTTATGGTGAGCGTAGCATAATGTATAAACTTGTTGAATCACTATGTTGTACACCTGAGACTAATATAACATTGTATGTCAACTATACTCAAATATGTGTGTGTATATATACACAAATATGCATACGTGTGTGACACGCACATATATATATAAATATATATAATATATTTAAAATATAAATATATATATATATATAAATGTGACTGTAATCTAAGTCAGGTGGGAGTATGCTACCCTTTCAGGAAATTATCAGTGAAGATTAGAGTTTATTTCTTAAATGTGTTTTCCAATGTTTGAAGGAGTGGGGAGGAGCTGACAGTTGCATTTTCAGGATAATCTGTAAGTATGAAATCATTTCAAGGGTTGTGCTTGAGTTGAAAGTATATTCCTCTTGGGAATGCAAACTGGTGCAGCCATTCTGGAAAACAGTATGGATGTTCCTCAAAAAAAATAAAAGTAGAACTCCCCTATGACCCAGCAATTGCACTAGTAGGTATTTATCCAAAGGATACAAAAGTGCTGATATGAAGGGGACATGCACCCCAATGTTTATAGCAGCACTATTGACAGTAGCCAAAGTATGGAAAGAGCCTAAATGTCCATCAACTGATGAAGGGACAAAGAAGATGTGGTGTGTATGTGTATATATATATTACTTGGAGATGAAAAAGAATGAAGTCTTGCTATTTGCAAAACATGGATGGAACTAGACTGTATTATGCTAAATGAAATAAGTCAGTCAGAGAACAACAAATATCATATGAGTTCACTCCTATGTGGAATTTAAGATACAAAACAGATGAACATAAGGGAAGGGAAGCAAAAATAATATAAAAGCAGAGAGGGAGACAAACCATAAGAGACTCCTAAATACAGAGAACATACTGAGGGTTGCTGGCTGGGTGTTGGGTGAGAGGAAGGGCTAAGGGGGTGAGGGGCATTAAAGCATTAAGCAGGACACTGGTTGGGATGAGCACTGGGTGTTATATGTAAGTGATGAATCACTAAATTCTACTCCTGAAAAAAATATAAATTTTGGTTTTAAAAATGTGTCTTATTTGTGGTTTATCTATACCATGGAATACTACATGGCAATGAGAAACAATGAAATCTGGCCATGTGTAGCAACATGGATGGACCTTGAGGGTGTTATGCTGAGCGAAATAAGTCAGGCAGAGAAGGACAAATATCGTTTGTTTGTACGTATAGGAGGATTAGGAGGAACTTAACTGAGGAACAAGGGGGAGAAGAAGGGGGGAAATGGTGGGCGAAAGGGAGAGAGGCAAACCATGAAAGACTCTTGAATGCTGACATAAACTGAGGACTGATGGATGTGGGGGGGTGGGGGGATGGGCATGGAGGAGGGCACTTGTGGGGCTGAGCACTAGGTGTTATGTGGAAACTAATTTGACAATAAACTGTTTTAAAAAAATGTGTCTTATTTAAACTACTTCAACTTGGGGATCAGTCCAAAATCCCTTACCAAATTCCTTTTCTGATAACCAGTTGGAATGGATTATATAGTTACAAAGAAGAACTCGGATATAGAAATTGTTATGGGGAACAGTTATAGGGCGCAGATCCTCAAGGAAATGGTTGTTGAGCTTAGTTGGTTCTGAAGGCCTGAGGATTAGTGAGAATGTCTCTTGGGGAGACTACAGTGCACAGAGTCGAGAGTTGCTTACGTTATTATCTAAGCCAACGGTAATGAAGTGCCTGCTGAAGGAAGACTGGGCGACAGGTGTCTTCATTCCTTCTTTCAATGCTGAAGAAAGAACCTTAAAGAAAGCTAATAACAGACTTGAGACCAAAGTTCTTGGCTCAGCATAGAGAATCAGGAGCTGCCTTGAACTGTGCTGGAAGACCTTTTAGGTTACTCGCTTCAGTACTGATGTCGCAGAAAATCAAACTCACGTTTCAATCCTTGCAACATTGCGAGGTTAAGTTGCTTTTGACAACATCACCAGACCTCATGCAAAATTAGGCCACAAATTGGAATAGAGTGGAAGATCCCAAGAATTGAAATAGAGGAGAATTTGGATGATTTAGACCACTCCGCATTCCACTGAACATTCCTTGAGGGCAGAAGTGGAATGTCTCACTCCATGCATCTGATGGAGATGTCCCTGCTGGGCAGAGAGATCTTATAATGAATGACTTCACCTCGAATGGTTGCCTGGTGACAGGTGGCCAAATTGCTTCATGCCTCATTTCTATCACTTCTCTTTTGCTTCTGTGTCTTCAATTATGGCCACATCCCAGCAGGCACCCAGAGTCACTTACAAAGTGAAACCCTAAAAGGCTCCCTAAGAGAGAAAGCTCACACAACAAAAGACTCCTGTTCATGCCAGAACCCAGAAGAACAGCCATGGAAAGCATTGTGAGAGTGTTAGGCTAGGGAATGAGGAAGAATTTTAGATAGGACCAAATTTGCTGATAGGTGCTCAAGCAGATGAGAGTGATGTTAATAGTTTACTTACTCAGTTATCTGAAACCTGGCCTCAGTGGGTGACCAACACTAAATGGAATGAAGTTGCAATATTTCTATAAAATAAAGGGAGATAGGAATGCTAGATTGGATTTATCAAATCCATCTAGTCACTCATCCTTTAATAAGAGAACTCTAAATACATTTTTCCCATTATAGCATTGAAAAGTACAATGGTGAGAGATCCAAATTTTCAAAGTGCTGTAGTGACTGTTTTCAGTAGTCAGGGGATGAAGGGAGGTGCCATTGAAATGGACTCCATGTTTCAATGAGGTTAATAGGATCCTGAGCCTTAGCCAGAAGATATACCTAAAAACCAAAATACTGTAGTCATTATTATAATCGACAATACGCTAGGAGTAATAATCAGGATGGTTCTAGATCCCACAGACCCTCACACCAAACTGCCCACTAAATTACTAGCAAATAGAAGCTTCACTTGAATATCCATACTCAGATGCTAGTCAGAATTACAGGAAACACTTTGCTTTATGTTGCATATATTTCTGCAGCGTAACCCACATGTATATGTTTGTTATGAGGAAAAACTTTCAACTTTAAAAATTTTAATGAAATCATGAATAGCACCAAAATGTAAGGTTGTTTGTGTCTGTTTGCGTGTTTATTGGCAATTTTAATGAGTTACATGCATTTGAATTGCTTCAAGTTATCTACAGTATTTTTCCTCATCTATCAAGGAAAATGTTACTTAGAAAACTAATAACGTGAATATGTTTATTTAGTGGAACCTGGTATGTTCCCATTCTTCCATTTGCTAATTTTTTCATCTCCAAAAATGGGCTTGTATTTGAGTGTATGTTATTATTGTGTTATGTAATGTGTTATTTTGCCCTGCCTAATAGCACTTCCTTTAAGCATTTGTTCCATTTATGCCATATGAATCCGAAATCAATCTCTTCTGTCTCCTAGAATTTGACTCTGAAACAGACACGCCCTGGGAGGAAAGGTAATTTTAGCTGAGTCATTCGCCTGTCCCTGACTTCCCTGAAACCACACTGGCTCCCATCCTCCCCAAGGATTCATTGTTCATCCTTTATTTATTTATTTTAAGTAAACTCTCCGCCCAACATGGGGCTCGAACTCTCGACTGCCAGACCCAGAATCACATGCTCTACTGACTGAGCCAGCCAGGCACACCATTGTTCATCTTTTCTTTTGATGCTGGCTGCTCTCCAGAACTTCAAACTTTAAGATTGCTTAAATTCGTTTCTGTTACTGGCCACATAACATCTTTGATTCAGAAATCATAACCACAGAGTGGACTGCAGGATTTGTGGAGAACAGTGTTGGTTATAAGAATAAGAACAAAAGAGGGGCGCCTGGGTGGCTTAGTCGGTTAAGAGTCCGACTTTCGCTTAGGTCATGATCTCGCGGTTCGTGGGTTCGGGCCCCGCGTCCGGCTCTGTGCTGACCGGCAGCTCAGAGCCTGGAGCCTGTTTCAGTCTGTGACTCCCTCTCTCTCTGACCCTCCCCTGCTCACGCTGTTTCTCTCTCCTAGAAATAATAATAATAAAAAAAAAACCAAAACATTAAAAAAAAAAAAAGAATAAGAACAAAAGAGAATCATTTTAGACTCTAGGATGGGAAGGTAGCAGCTTTCCCATTAGTACATAATGGCAAAAAGTTATTACTTGTGGCCGCCTGGGCCCTTGAGCACTCTGGGAGCTTGTTCTAGGGGAACAAGTAGGTAGTGCAACAAGCCATTCTATTTTTTTTATTTTTTTAATTAATGTCTACACCCAACGCAGGCTCAAACTCATGACCCCAAGATCAAGAGTCGCATACTTTACCAACTGAGCCAGCCAGGCACCCTACACAAGCCATTTTAAAGGCATTGTAGAAAATGGGAATTGTGAAGGGTAATGTGGTTGTTTTTAATAGATGTAAACAATTTAAGAACATTGTAGAAGCATTTGCTTGCATTTGATAGGGACAGCAGTACACATTTACTCTCATGGCTCAGGATATTTAGCTCTTTCTTTGCCACACATGATGGACTGGCATGTTATACATCAGGGCAGCACCTTAATTTACTACATTGATGATGGCATGCCAGTTCGATTCCGAGAGCTGGAAATAGCCGGCCTTTGAGAACTGTGTATGCCACATATTTACAGCATCTGGGGGGGGGGGGGATTCTGAGAAAATATGAGATCCTGCCACATTCCAGAAGTTATGCCTTTATGGGTTAGACAGTGTCTAGATATCTTCACCCATTTGACCCATATCACAGAAAAGATATTTCATCTTTTTCCCACAACCCCAGAAAAGGTGGTGCAGCACTTGCTGAGGGTTTGAATTCTGGAGGCAGCATTTTTAATTTCCTATTTTCCTGCTTCAACACATTTGCCAAGTGACTGAGAAAGGTGCCAGATGTGACCTGTGTCTAGCTGGTTCAAAGTACAGTACAAACAGCTCTGGTACTCAGTCCCGGTGCCTCAGCAGATCCACTGCTTCTCAAAGAACCTGCATTAATCTGGATGCTCAAAGAAGTTGGCTGCAAGTCACAACAGGAAAGTCACAGTATAGCACCCGAAGATTTTGAAACAAGATCAAACCTCTTTTAGCAAGGGACTGTTTTTCTTTAAAGAAGCTACCTGCTTAGCTCACAAAAATTCAACCTTACTTCTCTCACAACATTTGAATTCAGTGACACAAATATCATAATAAGCACCATTTTAGTTGTGTCCCACCAGATTTTCATGTACTATACTTTTTTCATTTCTTGCTGTTCAAGCATTTTTAACTTCCCAACAGAATTTCTTCTTTGACCTGTTAGTTATTTTAAATGTGGTTTTACATTTCCAAACGTATCCTAATTTTTTTGTTTTGCCTATCTTTTATTATTATTTTGTATATTTAATTGCATTCTGATTAGAAAAGTTGGTCTTTATGAGACCAATTCTAAAATTTGTTGAGACTCATTTTATAATGAACACATCTTCCATTTCATTGTGATTTTAGGCTGCATTTTTCTGAGGACTACTGAGGAATATGTTTTCATATGTTCAGTGGTCATTTGGATATTTTCTCATGTAAAGGGCCTCTTGAAGTCTCTTGCCCATTTTTAAGTCATATTTTTGATGTTTTTAAAAATTGCTCTGTAGATTTTGGGGGGGGTATATTCTGAACACAAGTTCTTTGCCAGTTATATGTATTGAAAGCTTCTTCTTTGACTCTTTGAATTACATTTTTACTCTTTCAATGGTGTCTTTTGAAGGATAGAAGTCCTTGTTTTTATTACAGTTAAATTTAACAATCTATCACCTTTATGGCTAGAATTTTTTGCTTCTCTTTCAAGAAGTGTTTCCCTCTGCCAAAGTAATGAAGACATTTTCTTGTATCAATTCCTAGATGCTTTGTTATTTTGCCTTTCACAGCTAAAGCAATAACCCACTTGGAATTGATTATTTTATGCAGTTTAAGAGCCAAATTTCATTCTCTTCCAATTTAGAGATGTCCAATTATGCATCATTTATTACAAATCCATTCTTTACCCACTGCTCTGTGGTGTCACCTTTGTCATAAATTACGTGTCCATATACTACACTGTCAAACTTACCATAATTTTGTAGTAAGTCTTCGTATTCAGTATAGCGAATGTTGAACCAAGCTTTCACTAGAGAAAGAAACACAATAAATAAACAAATTTGTTGAGATCCTTTATCCTTTTAGGCAAGCTGATTTAGCATTGCTATTCTGTTTAGGATTTCTGCATTTATCTTTATGAGACAGATTGTCCTTATTGTCCCTTAATTTTCCTTGTCAGATTTTGTCAAAATGGTGTTGACCTCATAAAACAAAATTGGGGAGTGGTTCTTTTACTCTGTTCCTCTGGAAGAAGTTTTGTAATATTGATGTTATTTATTGTCAGTAAATGTTGGTGGGATTTATCGCTGAAATAATTAGTCTGTGAGTTGTGTGTTTGTATAGGTGTGTGTGAAAGTTTTGATATTATGAATTTCTTTAATAAAGATAAGACTGTTTATATTTGTGCTTCATCTTGTGTCTGTTTTCGTAACTTGTATTTTGCCATGAGTTTGCCCACTTATCTGAATTTCCAACCGTGTAGCACAAAACTCTTCATGATTATCTTTTTTTTAAGGATATTTAGTGATGTCTCCTCTTGCATTCCTTAGATTTGTTATTGACGCCCAGCCTTATCACCCAGTGAGCAGTAAGTATATGTATATGTGTATATATATATATACTCAAGTTAGCTCCATATGAAGTATATATATTTATATGCAGATTATATTCCTATTAAATTGAGCCATTTTTCATTAAGAAGTGAACTTCTTTATATTCAGTAGTAATTTTTGCTTTAAGATCGACTTTTTATACATTAATATAGCAGTGACCAGCTTTCTTCAGATAGGGGTTTGGACTATCTTTTTTCATCTTTTAGCTTTTCTGTACCCTAATATTTTATATATGTTACTACTAAACAGCATATAGCTGGGTTTTCTTCTTTTATTCAATGCACCTATACTTCTATTTTGTTTTATTTTTATTTATTTTTAAATTTTTATCTATTTAAAGTAATCTCTACACCCAAAAGTGGGGCTCGAACTCATGATGCAGGAATCAAGAGTCACATGCTCTTCCAGCTGAGCCAGTCAGGTGCTCCTGTCCTTGTATTTTAATTAGACCAATTAATAGAATTACACTGAATGTAATTACTGCCATATTCACTTTGAATTTTCCTTTTTAAAAAAATAATCTCTATGCCCAACATGGGGTTCAAATTCATGCTCCCAAGATCAGGAGTTGCCTGCTCTACCCACTGAGCCAGCCATGCACCTCTGATGTATTCACTTTAAATTTACTCCCTCTAGGGGCGCCTGGGTGGCTTAGTCGGTTAAGCGTCCGACTTTCGCTTAGGTCATGATCTCGCGGTTCGTGGGTTCGAGCCCCGCGTTGGGCTCTGTGCTGACTGCCAGCTCAGAGCCTGGAGCCTGTTTCAGAGTCTGTGTCTCCCTCTCTCTCTGACCCTCCCCTGCTCACACTGTCTCTCTCTCAAAAATTAAAAAAAAAAAAATTAAAAATACAAATGGGAAAACTCAACAATAAAAAAACAAACAACCCAATTAAGAAATGGGCCAAAGACCTTAAAAGACACCTCACCAAAGAGGTATCTCTCTCTCTCCTAGAAATAAATAAAATATTTAAAAAAAAAATTTACTCCGTCTCTATTTACTTTTGATTTGTTTCATCTACTCTGTATCACTCCTTACTCCTTACTCACATTCTTTTGGATTGACTTCATTCTTAAAATTCCTTTTACCTCTTCCATTTCTTAGTCTTGTAGTCCTGTGTTTTACTATTCTGTTAGTAGTTCCCTGAAGATTGCAGCATATACCCTAGATGTATTTTAAAAAACCTATTGTTACTTTATTTCTTTTACGCTCCTCTTGAACAGCGCAAGTAACCATTTTCCTTGTTTGGATTTATATGTTATTGTTGTCATGTTTCAAAATGTTTTAGTGGTGCCTGGATGGCTCAGTTGGTTGAGTATCTGACTTGATTTTGGCTCAAGTTGTGGTCTCACAGTTCGTAAGTTGTAGCCCCACGGTGGGCTTCGGGCTGGCAATGTGGAGTGCTGGCATGCTCTCTCTCTCTCAAAATAAATAAAAATTAAATAAATAAAATGTTTTATATATTTTAAATTCCACAAGCCATAATTATTTGCATTATTATTATTATTAGTTTAGGTAATGTGTTGATTGGATGAACTCATGTCTGTACCATTTTCATTGCTCTTATTTCTTCTTGCATTTCCAGTCTTATATCTGGGATTCTATTTTCTCTTGCCTGACTAATACCATTTAGAATTTCCGTTAGTGTGGGTCTACATTGTTGCCAATACTTGCTGTATTTTGTATTTTTTATTCTAGCCATTCTGATAGGTGTAAAGTGATATTGTGGTTTTCATTTATATTTCCCTGATAATGAGTGCTTTTGAGTACCTTTTCACATGTTCATTGGCCATCTATATGTCTTCTTTGGAGCAGTGTCTTTTCAGGTCTTCTGCCCATCTTTTAATCAGATTATTTGTTTTTTGATGTTGAGTGCAGATCTGTTCAATGGCCAATTCTATCAATTTTTATTGGTCTAAAAACATCTCTTTACTTGGTTTTTTGCTCTTTACTTGCTCCTTCTCTGGGCACAGAATTCTAAGCTGGTAGTTATTTTCTTTCAGCTGTTTAAGGTATCATCGCATTGTATTCTGACTTGCATTGCTTTCCAGGCTAGTTGTCAATCAAACTGTGCCTCTTTACTATTTTCATTAATAAATATTTCTAGAGTCCTTTTATTTTTGTTTTGGTCTTTTGGAACAGATGGTAGAAAAATAGAACAAGCATGTTTTTTTATTTACCAGTCCCTATGTAAGCCGCTGGTTGTGCTAATAATAGTCTTTTGGAAAAGGAGACAAGGAAAACACATTATTTTTAAATGTCAAGAGCTGTTTTTTAAATATATTGCTTATTTCTTGTTACTGGAAATCATCTTCAAATTACATACAATCAATAAAACTAGTCAAGCAGAAATGTCTCTACTGGTCATATTTGAAGAGATCTAAGAGGTTTTCTTCATTTGCGCATCTTCATCATTTTTTAATCACAAAATACACTGTCAGATTGTTTATTTGCCGAAACACTGGATTACGTAGGTGATTGAGTTTTCTGTAGTCTGTATTTAGCTGATGGCACTTTCACCGTGTGGCTTAACATGTTCCTCTTTCGTCATATGCAATGTGCTGGGTATTGGTAGTTTTTCTTAGATTCGGGTTAAAGTTTCTGCAAAGACTGCTTCAAAGATGGGGTTACATTCTTCCACGAGGAAGCACATCATGTTTGTTTCTTTTTGTGGAATGTTAGCAGGTATGATGAACATTGGTAAGTTCCATTCATTTATTGCAAATGAATATATTCAGCTCAATTGTTTCCTCTTTGCTCATTATAGGTCTCAGAAAAACAGCTTCCTCTAGTCTATTGTCAATTAGTAGCAGAGTGAGTATAGGAAGGGCAGAATAAATGCCTGATTCTTTCCCTTTATTTACTCATTTTCTAAATGATGAATTGCTTTACTAACATGCTCTAACAGTGACCTATGAGGAACTTGTTTGGGGAGGGGAGAGTGTAATGATGAACATGTGGATTTAAATATATTTAGTGTGTGTCTATCACTTCCAGTCATCTGGCTCTCCAATTGTCCCAACTTTGCCTTGTATAGCTATCTCTTCACATTCTGTTCTTTCTTGGCTCTGAAACCATTTTCCACTAGCATTGGATTAACTTCAGCCTAACTTTAATTTTATTTCTCCTTGTTTCACATGTCTCATAGAACTTCCATGTAGGATCTCAGCAGTGGCTAGTGGAGTGCGCTCCTGCGCGAAGGAAAACCACACAAATGGGGGCCCACACAGCACAGCGGCCCCTGCATCCCTTTAACTCTCCATTCTTTTCTTTTTAAAGCTTATTTACTTTTGAGAGAGAGAGAGAGTATGCGCAGAGTGGGGAAGGTAGAGAAAGAGAATCCTAAGCCTGCTCTAGGATCAACACAGAGCCTAGCGCTGAGCCCAAACCCAGGAACCATGAGCCGAAATTAAGAGTCAGACGCTCAACCCGCTGAGCCACCCAGGTTCCCCTCATTCTCCATTCTTTAAAAAAAAAAAATTTATGTCTTTATTTTATTTTGAGAGGGAGACAGAGTGCAAGCAGGGGGGAGGGGCAGTGAGAGCAGGCTCCAGGCTCTGAGCTGTCAGCACAGAGCTCGACATGGCTCAAACTCACAGACTGTGAGATCATGCCCTAAACTAAAGTCGGATGCTTAACCAATTGAGCCCCCCAGGTGTCCCTCATTCTCCATTTTTAAATTTTGTTCATGCAAGAAGGGAACTCGGTATCTACCACATCCAGAAAATGTAACTTCCAGAAGTGGAAGACATTGAACTGCACTTGATCAGCCTCTCTTAGTCAAACTCAACTTTGTGGTCTGTAACATGGATTCTAATTCTTGCCTCTTTGGGGAGGATGGGCTCTTTGTGTAAGCTTTCTAATATTCCTGTCTTTGCTAGTCTTAAACATCATTAAAGTAGGTTTAAGTGTGGGTTTTTCCTTATCTGCCCTCTCTGGCACTCTCTGAGCACTTTAAATCTAAAAGCCTTACTTTGTATAAGCTTTCTAATGTTCCTGTCTTTGCTAGTCTTAAACATTATTAAAGTAGTTTTAAGTGTGGGTTTTTCCTTATCTGCCCTCTCTGGCACTCTCTGAGCACTTTAAATATAGAAGCCTTATTACCATTCACCCCAAATATTTCCTCCCTTCACTTTGTTTTTTTCCTCAGACTCTTATCCAGACATTGGTATTTCTGTACTTCATATCACTTAACCTTCATCCTGTTCTTCTCCCTTCAGTTTGATCCTGTTCACTAATTCTTGCTCTGGCCTTATCTATCTGCAGTTTGTATGGTGGAGACAGAATATGTGTGTTTGAATCCTAATCCCAACCTGAGCAATTCTCTCAACATTTATGTGCCTCAGTTTCTTCACCTGTAAAGTAGAAATAATGGTAGTACCGACCTCACAGAGTTGTTGTTGACCATGTAAATGTAAGAAATGCACACGGAGCATTGCCTGGCACAAAGTGAACAATATATACATTCTAGCTGTTACTGTCATAAGTTACTATTGTTCTTTTTTAAATCTCTTGTCCCAGCTTCATATTACTCATATTTTCTGTGAGAATAATTGTGCCTTCTGAATTCATGCTGTTCAGTTTTGTTATTTTTCTAGCTAATGCTGATGTGTTAGAGAAGAGTTAAGAAATAAGAAGTGTTAAGATAATAGAGGAGCTGAGCCTCAGGGCAGAGAACCCCAGGTACCACAAAGCGACAGTCTACAGCCCTGTTTTCTGCCACCACACCTGGAAACTCATGGTCGGGGATTGCTCTTAAGTCACAGCAACAGGCTGCTGTGCCAGGAAGAAACAACTTTCTTGGAATGTGTCATGCTAGTCCTGGTGTCTAGGGTAGGAGTGGGTGCAGGTGTGTGTGCTTAGGAAAGCCTGGTCGGTCAGCACCTGTCTTTCTCAGCGCCTCACCTAACCCCAGCAGGCTTCGGGGCTGCCCTGATGGTATCCTTAGAACCAGCTGGCCTGGTGATCACTTCCATGTGATTCTCCCAGGGCAGCGTGGGGGAGACGCAAGCGCAAGCGTAGAAAAGCTGTGGTCTGGCTCTCTGAGGCCAGGCCATTCTCCTCCCCGGGGCGGGGGCGGCTCCCACTCGCCATCCCCTCACTCACACCAGTCTATGACTCCTCCCTTCTCTCCTGGCGTTTCTCACAATTTTTAGGTTGGATCCTCAGAGCCTTGCTTCACTCTCATCTGTGCTTTGGGGAGATGGAAGCAGCAGCCTGTCCTGGTGGCCTTCTCATCAGGAGCCAGGAGTCTCCTCTTTGCATAAAATATCTGGGCCTTTTCCTCTTTAAAGACAAAACTTGATGAGTTTCTTGGATGAATGGGACATTGAAAGATGCAGTCGTTTGGAAGCTCAGTCTGACTTCACTCACTCTTAGAAGGGCACCACTGACTTGGCCCCTTTGAAATAGAGCTGCAAGGAAAAATCAAACACTCTCCACTCCTAATGTCAAATGAGATACTTTTTTTCCCTCTTTGCTTTTTTCTTTTTCTCCTTCTCCTCCTTCCTCCCCGCCCCCCCCCCCACTTGTCTTCTTCAAGCACGTACCTTGCACATAATGGCCACTTAATAAACCCATGTTGACTTGATTTGGATCTATATCTAAGTCTTGTCATGAGATATTTTCAAATGAATTAAGCCATCTACAATAGAACGTATCTGCCTTTCTTTAAATCTGAGTAACTGAAAATTCTGATGAAGGGTGTGTACAAGTGTAAAGTAAATTCCTTATGTGATTAGTCAAGCTACCTGACTTCAAACAAGTTTTATTTTTGTCCATATTACTGGTAAACTGCTTGGCCTACGTCTGCTTGGCTCAGATCAAGTTTGATCAACATGTTTAGCAAGGGTAAATTAGTAAATCCCTAAATAAATCAACTTGTTTGGGCAAAATAAGCAAATCTCTTATGACATGAGCCAAGCAGAAACTTCCCCTGCAATTTTCCTATGAATATGACACATGTTCAGTGCCTAAGGTTTCACCCACTATTGCAGGGAGCCTAGTTGTACCTGCCTTAGAGCACGTCGAGGTTTACACAAGTTTACGAGTGCAGGTCATGCCGTTGCTTTTGACTCAGAACTCAGTGATGGACAGATTAATGTCACCTGGAGAGTATCCAATCTTCATCTCAAATCTGCCTCTGGTTTTGGCGAGGCTGTTCAGATCTCTGAGACAGAAAACAGAAATGCTCTCTTATCTAGCCTGTGAGAAAGAAATGAACTGTGCACATTTGGTTTTTTACAGCACCCTTTCAAGTGCATCAGCGAGCCCATGCAAGTAGGACTTTCTGCCATATGCATGTTGCTTTCAAGCCTACTAAAAATATAGTTTCTCACACTTGGTGTTTCCTAGTGGATTATCTCGGTTCTCAGGGATGAGTAGGTACCTGCAGAACAAGAAAATGTGGCTCTTGACAGTTCACACACAGCCTCAGAAATTCCCTACTTGTTTATAGATATTTGAGATAATAACTGGCAGGCTAAGTATGTTCGTGGATTGCAGTAGGATTCCTATGGAGAATCAGCACAGTGGAGCAAAAGAACATAATTTTAAGTATGAGATGAACATTGGTTTGAGCAATGGCTCTCTCACCAGGCTAAAGCTTCATGCTTTCAGGCTTGTAACTTCATCTCTCTGGGCCTCAGTTTCCTCATCTGAATATGATGGTAATTATGTATATGATGTATAGAGAGTGGTACCTAAGAGGTACCCAAGCATTAAGGAACCACTATAATTATAACACTCACTTATTTATTAATGCTGTGAGCATTAATATAGAATAAAATACAGATGTTCTTTGCCTTTCAAACATGGATTTCACAATATATTGAACATTTGTTACATATATGCATATTGAATTCATATAAATAAATGTTGCATGTCTCCCATGTAACTCTGAAAATTAGAAATTGGAGAGTCAGTGAAAATTTCCACTTCTTTTTATCAGAGTTTAAAGTGTCCCAGATCTGTGAAATGACCATAATATCATTGAATATAAAATGAAGTATTATATTTGAGCCTGAGTGGCTCAGTCGGTTCAGCAATTGACTTCCACTCAGGTCATGGCCTCACAGTTTGTGAGTTCGAGCCCTGCGTCAGGCTCTGTGCTGACAGCTCAGAGCCTGGAGCCTGCTTGGGATTCTGTGTGTGTCTCTCTCTCTCTGCCCCTCTCCTATTCATGCTCTCTCTCTCTCAAAAATAGAATAAACATAAAATAAATAATAAAGGGGCTCCTGGGTGGCTCAGTCAGTTAAGTGTCCAATTTCAGCTCAGGTCATGATCTCATGGCTTGTGAGTTCAGGCCCTGCCTCGTGCTCTGTGCTGACACCTCAGAGCCTGGAGTCTGCTTCAGATTCTGTGTCTCCCTCTCTCTCTGCCCCTCGCCCTCTCATGTTCTGTCTCTTCCTCTCTCAAAAATAAACATTAAAAACATTTTTTAATGAAAATTTAAAAAAGAATAAAAAACCACTTTATTAAAAAATTTAAATTGAAATATTATATAGCTCTGATTTATCACATTCAGTTGTTTGGAAATGCAGTAAATGCTGTAACATTCCATCACTTTTATTCATGACCTGAGTTTCAGCACTTTTTATTTCAAATTTTAGAGATATATGAAATAAATTATTTTAGACCTCATTTTTAGATTTTTGCATAAGAAAATACTTTCAGTATCTTAATAAAATTAGCACAATATTATTACATCAGAACTTTATACTTTGATAGTACCAAAAAGGAAAAAATCTTGTAGCCCAATCTCACTAATAAATATCACTGCAAAGATTGTAAAGAAAATTATGTTCAACGGAACCCAGTCAAATAATACATAAAAATCAGGAAGCATTTATTCTAGCAACATAAGAACAGTACAATGTTAAGAATTCTATAAATGTAGCTCACTGTATTAATATGTAAAAAAAAGTATATGATCTTGTGGTGTCAACTTGGGTAGGCTGACCCAACCGCCCCTGAATTCTCTTCGCTTAATTATAGAATAAGTCAGCTGAGGGGGTACCTGGGTGGCTCAGTGGGTTAAGTGCCCCAGCTCTTGGTTTCAGCTCAGGTCATGATCTCACAGTTCCTGAGATCAAGCCCCTTGTCAGGCTCTGCAATGATAGCATGGAGCCTGCTTGGGGTTCCCTGTCTCCCTCTCTCTCTCTGCCCCTCCCTTGCTCATGCTCTCTCCCTTTCTCTCAAAATAAATAAATAAACTTTAAAAAAAAAGAATAAGTCAGTTGAGGCGGTGGAAATATTAACAACTGTGAACAATTTGTGCACACACAAGCAATGACCACTCCTTCACCTGACCAGCATCAGTAATGAAGTGTCACCAATTTTAAAACATATTCTGATTTAAAAGGTTTTAAAATGTCAAAAAGGGGGTGCCCAGGTGGCTCAGTAGGTTAAGCATCTGACTTTGGCTCAGGTCATGATCTCGCGGTTCATGGGTTCGAGCCCCGCATCGGGCTCTGTGCTGACAGCTCAGAGTCTGGAGCCTGTTTCAGATTCTGTCTCTCTCTCTCTCTCTTTGGCCCTCCCCTTCTCACGCTATCTCTGTCTCTGTCCCTGTCTCTCTCTCTCTCTTTCTCAGAAATAAATAAAAAACATTTAAAAAATAAAAATAAAATGTCAAAACGTTTTGCATCTAATAATAAGATATCGCATGTGACATTTCAAATTGTTAAGGGAAAGAGGGGATTACTCATTACAATGAATATACTTTACAGTACTAAAGCATTCTCTTTGACAGAAATATACAAGGTAAGACAAATGACAACTTAGAACAGTTTCTTTTAGAACAGTTATTTTTAAAACATGACAAAAGGGGAAAACATTACAAAGGATCTATTACTTTACTATAAAAGCAATTCATATAGAGGCTTCTGGGTATATCAATCAGTTAAGTGTCTGGCTCTCGGTTTCAGCTCAGGTCGTGATATCAGGGTTCATGAGTTAGAGCCCTGCATCAAGCCCTGCATTGGGCTCCGTGATGACTGCATTCTCTCTCTCTCCCTGTCCCTTCTGCTTGCTCATGCTTTCTCTCTCTCTCTCTCTCTCAAAGTAAATAAACTTTTAGAAAAATAATTCATGTAATTAACAAGAACATGATCAATACTGAGGAAAAATGAGCAAAAGACATAACCAGACAAATCTCTACAAAACATATAAATGGACAATAAATCAGTGACAATGTACTCAAATTCACCCTTAATTATAGAAATGCAAATTAAAACAAAATACTGTTTACACTTACCAGATTGGCAAAAACTTTCAAGTGCGATAACATCCAGGATAACTAAGAGTAAGGGGAAAACAAACATTCACACATTATTATTGGTGGAATTATATACAGCACATCCTTTTTGAGACAAATTGTAATGGTAATTTTTTTTTTTTTATGTTTATTTTTGAGAGGGAGAGCACAAGCAAGGGAAGGGGAGAGAGAGGGAGAGAGAGAATCCCAAGCAGGCTCCACACTGTCAGCACAGAGCCCAATGCAGGACTCAGACTCTTAACTGTGAGGTCATGACCTGAGCCAAAGTTGGACACTTAACCAAATGAGCCGCCTAGGTGCCCCATGTTATGGTATATCAAATTTTAAGATGTGTTCTCAACTTTATAGCAATTAATTGATGGCAATGATTTATAAATTCCTCTATAATAGAACATTTGAATTCAAATTTGTCAAGCATGTGTTTTTGTAATGAAATTAATCTAGACAAAGTCTAGACCTTGGGATTTGTTGTAGAGAAGTTAAAAAACTGGGGCTTTAGATAGCTGTAAATCTACATATGTCAAAGTTTTTTCATGTCCTTTCATAACTCCATGTAAGTACTTATATAGGTGGTTCTGTACAGTCATGAAAAAAAATGCCTGTAAGTGCTGCTTGGAAATGTGGAGATACCAGAGCTTGGAGCCAGGCAGCACTGTCAATGCCTCTCATTTCTAGCACTTACTTGCTTTGGAACTTGGGTAAGACATTTTCATTAAGATTTGGAAAATAGGGGGACACCTGGGTGGCTCAGCTGGTTAAGCATCCAACTTCAGCTCAGGTCATGATCTTGAGGTTTGTGGGCTTGAGCCCTGTGTTGGGCTCTCTGCTGTCATTATGGAGCCTGCTTTGGATCCTCTGTGCCCTGTATCTCTCTCTTTCAAGAATAAATAAATATTTAGGGGCTCCTGGGTGGCTCAGTCTGTTGAGCATCCAGCTCTTGATTTCTGTTCAGATCATGATTGAGATCAAGCCCCACATCAGGCTCCATGCTGACAGTGCAGAGCCTACTTGGGATTCTCTCTCTCTGTCCCTCCCCTGCTTGCACTTTCTCTCTCTTTGTCTCTCTCTCTCTCAAAATAAATAAACTTTTTAAAAAGTTAAAAAAGAAACATTTTTTACAAAGATTGGAAAATAGGTAGAACAATATCTACTTCACAGAGTTGTCGTGAGGACAGAATGAGATAACATATCTAAGCCTTCTGTGATGTCACCTGATGCATAGTATGTTCTCAATAAATTCTGTTATTAGCTCACAATCTTGGCTCTTAACTCATTTAAAAATGCCATTCTTGTGCTTAATTTTATAGGATCCTGGATAAAATGGAGCTATCTGAATTCCGTAATTCATCTGTAATGCCTTTCTTATTGTCACCATCTCTGTGCTGTTTGTTGCTTTTGTTTTAGTCTTTGCCATAAAGTTCTCACCTCATATCTTTAGTCAGTCCTCAAGTACTATTCCTGGTCTCTCTTGTTTTATGATGATGTTGGGTCAGGACAGCCATACACAAAACTGTCCTGCATTTCATGATGGTTCAACTTCTTTGTAGAAGCTGAGTGGACAGAAGGGACAGCTAATCCCAAAGAATGTTACAATGTGCTGGTGTTGAAATCTGTAGTTGGAACTCTAGTAGCATCTATTCATAGCAGTCCCGCGGGTGACATTACAGTTGTGTTTGGGAGATTATCTGAGGAAAAGCCACTTACTATTTTTTTGGAACTGAAAAAACTCCAGGTCAAAATAAGTGAAGTTTTTTTATTGATTCAAAATATCATTGTATCTTGCCTTGAAATAAGAGAATCTGACATCCTAGAGCCTGGTATAAAGAGCAGAGGGTTTTGTTTTATTTTTATTTTTTTGAAAGAGAGAGACCACACAAGCAGGGGCAGGGCAGAGGGAGGGGGACAGAGAATCCGCAGCAGGCTCTGTGCTGACAGCAGTGAGCCCAATGTGGGGCTCGAACTCACAAACTGTAAGATCATGAGGTGAGCTGGAGTCAGACGCTCAACCGACTGAGCCACCCAGGCACCCAAGAGTAGAGATTTGAATGGACTGTTGAAAGACCTTAATGTGAACCAAGTGGTTGAACATGAAGTCACGTTTACTCTGGAATGTGTTCATGTCAACTGATATGTGATTCGTCCCATTATAAGGGTCAGTGAGAGCTAAACTATAGATGCGTGTTAATTATATCGAGTCATCTTAACTATGGAACATTGTCTAGGCCTCAGGCCTAAAGAGAAAGTTAATTACTGCTGAGTTAATTGAACAAAAACTGTCCTGGAAAAATCGGTATTAATATATCGGAATGGCATGAGTTAGAAGGAGATGGTGAGCATCAGAGAGTGAGGCGTGAAGCAGGGGCACATCCAGTATTGTCTAGAGTAAACTGAAGAGCAATGAACACCCTCTGTAACTGATTATATACTCTATCTAAAGAAGCTCTTGGCTGCAAGTAACAGAACCCTTAAACTGTCCTAAATGTGAAGGAAAGGTATTATTTCACCAAACCGCAAGTCTAAGTGTAGGACAGGCTCCAGCTGCCGTATAAGGAAGGCTCTGGCTCAGATTATTTTTACTGTTCTGCCCTCTTTGAATTTGCTTTGTCCTCAGGCTATCTTCCACTGTTACTACAAGAGGAGGGGGTAGAAGAGAGAGAAGAAGAGAGGAGAGGGGGATTAGAGAGAGAACTTTCTCATCAGTCTGATTAGGCTGGTAGAGGTCAAGTGCCTTCTATTACATCGGTTATTATTAACATAGAAATGTCATGGGGCGCCTGGGTGGCTTAGTCGGTTAAGCGTCCGACTTTCGCTTAGGTCATGATCTCGCGGTTCGTGGGTTCGAGCCCCGCGTCGGGCTCTGTGCTGACTGCCAGCTCAGAGCCTGGAGCCTGTTTCAGTCTGTGACTCCCTCTCTCTCTGACCCTCCCCTGCTCACGCTGTCTCTCTCTCTCTCTCTCTCTCTCCTAGAAATAAATAAAAACATTAAAAAAAAAAAAGAGAAATGTCAGGGGCCCCTGGGTGGCTCACTTGGTTAAGCAAATGACTCTTCATTTTGACTCAGGTCATGATCTTATAGTTCATGGGTTCGAGCCCTGTGTCAGGCTCTGGGCTGGCAATGCAGAGCATGTTTGGGATTCTCTCTCTCTCTTCTTCCCTCTCTGCCCCACCCCTGCTTTCTCTCTCCCTCTCTGTTCCTCCCTCTCTCTTTCTCTCTCAAAATAAATATACTTTTAAAAAATATATGGAAATGTCATGCATTGCCTGGCTTACTTCATCCCACAGTCAATTATTTGACAAGAGCATAGAATTAATATTACAGACTTAAACCAAGTAGAGCCTTTCTCCCAGTTTGAGGATGGAGTCACATTCCCTGTGATCACACGAGCTGCAAATGAATGAAATTGGTGCTCTGTTAGGAAGGATATGATGGGGGCTAGTGGAGAATAGTTGCCAGGTACATAGCTAGTAGATTATGCTTCTGGTAATTCTAAAGTAACCTTCCAACCAGAAATCAAAATTCACTGTCCACAGGGCACAAGGTCTGATCACCTTGTCCATTGTACTTCTCACAAGTTAATATATTGGCATCTGGGTTTATACTTTTACCTTTCGTGATCTCCATAAGACTGAACCTTTCTCTTTTTTTTAACTTTCAGAATTTTTTTTAATTCCAGTATAATGAATACAGTGTTATGCTAGTTTCAGGTGCACAATATAGTCTTTCAACACTTCTGTACGTTACTCAGTGTTCATCAAGATAAGTGTACTTAATCCCCTTCACCTATTTAACCCATCCCTCCACCCACTCCCCTCTGTGACCACCAGGTTGTTCTCTGTTTGGGAGTCTGGCTTTTTGGGGTTGTCTCTTTTTTTCTTTGTTTTGTTTCTTAAATTCCACATATGAGTGAAATATGTGGTATTTGTCTTTCTCTGACTGATTTGTTTTACTTAGCATTATACTCTCTAGATCCATCCATGTTGCTGCAAATGGTAAGATCTCATACTTTATGGCTGAATAATATTCCTGTGTGTGTGTGTGTGTGCACGCGCTCATGCATACCACTTCTTCATCCATTCATCTATTGGTGGATGCTTGGGTTGCTTCCATAATTTGGCTGTTATAATATTACTGCAATAAACATAGAGGTATATGTATCTTTTTGAATTGGTGTTTTTGTATTCTTTGGGTAAATAACCAGTAGTGGAATTACTGGATCATATGGCATTTCTATTTTTTATTTCTTGAGGAACCTCCATACTGTTTTCCATAGTGGCTGCACCAATTTTCATTCCTACCAGTAGTGCACAAGGATTCCATTTTCTTCACATTCTTGACAAAACCTGTTGTTTCTTGTGTTTTTAATTTTAGCCATTCTGACAGGTGTGAGGTGATATCTCATTGTGGTTTTAATTTGCACTTCCCTGATCATTAATGGCGTTGAGCATCTTTTCACATGTCTGTTGGCCCTCTGTCTCCTTTGAAGTAATATCTGTTCATGTCTTCAGCCCGTTTTATAATTGGGTTATTCATTTTTGGGGTGTTGAGTTGTATAAATTATATATATATATTTTGGATAATAACCCCTTATCAGATATGCCAGTTGCAGATATCTTCTCCCATTCAGCAGGTTATATTTCAGTTTTGTTGACAGTTTCCTTTGCTGTGCAGAAGCTTTTTATTTTGATGTAGTCCCAGTAGTTTACCTTTGCCTTTGTTTCCCCTGCCTAGGAGACTTATCTAGAAAAATGTTGTTACAGCTGATGTCAAAGAAATTACTGCCTGTGCTCTCTTCTAGGATTTTTGTTTTCAGACCTCACATTTAGGTCTTTAAACCATTTTTGAATTTATTTTTGTGTATGGTGCAAGAAAGTGACGACTGAACCATTCTTGATGTATTAACAAAATCAAGTGCCTGTGCCTGCATTTCTGAGGACAAACTACAGCACACAATATAATGATTTCACCAAAGTAATATCACCATTATGGGACTTCAGTTGGCTTTTCTTTGA